GTTGGATGTTCCGCCATTAAAGGATAAGTTACTACACAGGCTCTACCACCGAAACATAACTGAAGGGGTGTATATGAGGAAATCCTACCAATGGCTAGACAAAGCCGGACTGATGGACAGCACAGCGGCACTCCCAGGAGCAGGCCCTAAGCACCAGAGCAATAGAGGCCCACATCTACCACACCAGACAAGACCCCAGGTGCAGGCAGTGTAAAGAGGCCCCTGAGACAATCCAGCACATAACTGCAGGGTGTAAGATACAGGCAGGGAAAGCTCACATGGAACGCCATAACCCAATGGCTGGAATAGTATACAGGAACATCTGTGCAGAGTATGGGCTGGAAACCCCACGGTCAAAGTGGGAAACACCTCCAAACGTGGTAGAGAATGACCGAGCCAAGATCCTGTGGGACTTCCAGATACAGACGGCAGAATTATAATGGCAAACCAACCGGACATTGTGATGGTGGACAAAAGGCAAAGGAACGCCGTTGTGGTTGCCATAGCAATACCAAGTGACTGCAACATCAGGAAAAAAGAACATGAGAAACTACAGAAATACCAGGGGCTCAGAGAAGAGCTGGAGAAAACCTGGAAGATCAAGGCATCAGTGGTACCCGTGGTGATTGGGGCCCTCGGGGGAGTGATCACATTATTAAAGAACATTAAAGAACAAATGTTCACATATATATAAATAATGAAAAAAACAACATAGTTGGAAAAAGAGTTTTGGAAGAAGTTTTGACAAACTTTAAAGTAAAAAAAGCCTTTAGTTAGACACATCATAAATGTATCATTCACTATGATTTGAAAACAAAGTCTTGACAATGACAAAAACTACATAAAAATTAAAATAATAATAATAATTAATAAAAAAAAAACTAAATAATAACTTTACTCTCTTTTCTTAATCCCATTACGGCAAATTTTCCTCTATAGACCATAATACTCATTATCAAATAGCAATACTTTAAAATACTGAATAAAAATAATACTAATATACTATACATATATATATAATAATTGTAATATATTATCTTATAATATATAATATAAATGTTGTATTCATCATATTAACATTTATTTGCGAAATATATAACTTATATATCTCACCCAGTTTGAGTTCAGTTTGAATAGTTTTTAATCTGAGTAAATCTGTGTAATCTAACTGTAAGCTAATTTCAGAATTTGTTTTGGTCTTCTAAGGCAGCGGTCCCACCGGTACCGGTCTGTGGGTCATTTGGTACCGGGCCGCACAGAAAAAAATAAAAATAAAATATATATATATATATATATATATATA